GGCCCACGGGGATTTTGGCAGCTGCTGCCCTGGGTGTGCTGTGGGACGGCCCGAGCCTCCAAGCCGGCTGCCAGATGTCAGCCCTGGCTTTGCCTTTGCATCCAAGAGAGGATGATGCTAAGCAGATCCTCCCTTGCTTTGAAGCTCCCTGGCTGTCAGTTCTCCAGCGAGCCACTGGAAAAAAAAGCAGCCCTTGACAACCTAAGGGGGGATAAGATGCAAAAAAAAAAAAAAAAACCAACAAAAAACCAAAAAAAACCCCAAAAAAAGTGGCTTCCGAAAGTTCAGAATTCAGCAAAAGTGCAACAGCGCCTTTGAAACAAGGCAGGAAAAATTGGGTGGAAATCCTGTCTGTAGGGGAAGCTCTGTTTTCTTTTCCCCTTTTGCCCAGGCCTGAGTTTGACCCATATTTATATTATTTATTTTATGTTATATTTATATTATTATTTATTATATTTATTTATATATTAATATAAATAAATTTATATTTATGTATTATATACATTATATATAATATATATAATATATATAATATATATAATATATATTATATATATATTATATATATAATATAATAATTAATATATATAATATATATATTAAAATTATATTATTATTTATATTTATTTTTATATATGTATTATATTTATTTATATATTTTATTATATTTATTTATATTTATATTATATAAATATATTATTTATTTTTATTTATATTTATTTCTATTTTATTATTTATTATATAAATTTATATTTATATTATATTTATATTATATATTTTGACCCATATTTTTTTTCCTCAACACAAAGGAAATATGTATTTCCTTTAAAAAAAAAGTAGTATATTTTTAATACAACTCAAAGCGCCTTTGCAGAGAATTCATTGCAGCAAGCCAACTTTCATCCAATCCCCAATAAATATCCATAATAAATATCCAACCAAATGCATCAAAATGCTCAAAAAAGAACCCAAATTTCCCAACTAAAAAAGAACCCAAAACTCCCAAACAAAAAAGAACCCAAATCTCCCAACCAAAAAAGAACCCAAATTTCCCAACCAAAAAAGAACCCAAATTTCCCAACCAAAACAGAACTCAAATCTCCCAACCAAAAAAGAACCCAAATCTCCCAACCAAAAAAGAACCCAAATTTCCCAACTCCAGCAGCAAAACCTTTAGTGGAAGCAGAGCCAGAAATGAGAACTGCTGGAATTGCAGCTCCATTTTCCTCCTGGTGGGGAAATGGTGATGTGGGATGAGATTGAAAAACAGCAGCAGTTCCTTGCAGTTAAAAATCCCTTTTTTTAATTGGGATTTGGGGTTTTTTTACCCTATTCCTGCAGATTTACTGGGGATGGGCAAGATTTACTTAACTCTTTATCATTATCCTCAAAATATGTAGGTTTTTGGGGGGAATTTGTGAGGTTTTTTAGAGTTTTGGGCTTTTTTTGTTGTTTTTTTGGGGTATTTTGTCCTTTTGAGGGTTTTTGTGGGTGTTTTTTTGCTTTGTTTTTGTGTGTGGTTTTTGAGGGGGTTTGGAGTTTTTCTGGGTTTTTTGGAGCATGGGGTTTTTGTTGGTGGTGATGGTGGTTTTTTCGTTTATTTTGGTTTGTTTTTTTTTTTTTTCTTTTTTTCCTTTTTTTCCCCCACAACATCTTCAGAAAGGACAAAACCATTTCCTATTTTTGGTCTAAAACTCCTCCTTTTTCCCTCACAGTGCCCAGGAGCCACCAAAGGAAGCAGCAAATTAGAGGAGCACAAACTGAGGAGAGGATTTAACCTGCCCTGGGCTGTGAGAAGAGCTTTCCTCTTGCTCATTTTTAACCACAGAAAAGTGAAATAAAACGCTGCTGGCACTGAGGTGAGCTCCACCATGGGTGAGGTCAAACCATCCAGAGAAGGACAAAACCCCAGGCAGAAATTATTTGTTCCTCTGTGGGGTCTGATTCCATCTTCTGTCTGATGCAGCAGGCTCAGCTTTAACATATTTATATTTAAATATATTTATATTTAATATTTCCTTTGGATCCTGGATGTCTACACCCATAAGTGAATAAATTCTTGACTCTGGTACCCAAGAGCCTACCTAAAATGGTACCCTGGAGGCTACCTAATTTTTAAAAAATTATTTTAATTTTTTAAAATATATTTAAAATAATTTATTTTTAATTAATTTATTTATTTTAAATTTCCACTACTGCTTCCTCCATTCCAAGAAGGTTGCTCCATTCCAGTGAAGGTTCCTCCATTCCAATGAGGGTTTCCATCTGACTGCACAGCAGTACCTCAGCCCTCATCAGTGATTTTTAATTAATGAAAATTATGAACGCAGAAAGACTTGGATGGGAACCAAGGATTGGGAAGTGATTAAGTGGAATTCTGCTTAAAGGAGTTTAAATGAAGGATTTCCTGGGAATTCTGCACTTGTTGGTGTTCTCTGACACTTTCAGATACACCTTCAATCACAAAAGAACTCCTACATTTAATAAGATTGAATAAACTCAGATGTGGTGGTGTTTTATTTATTTAATTTTTTTTTGCGTGTTTTTGTGACAGGTTTTTGATAATTCTCACAATTATTTAAAGTAAAGCAGGGAACGGGAGGGAAATCCAGCGAGATTCAGCAGCAACCTGAAATCTCAGCAGAGCTTCCAATGCTCATTTCATGAAAACAATTAAATTCAGTGTCGTGTTTGGCTTGAAGGGGAAGCTGGGTCAGGGGAGTAATTAATGCTATTAATTGAGTTACAGACACTTGACACCATCCCAAATTAGCCTCAATTGCCATAGTCTGGTTTGGCCAATTATTTTTGTTTCTTTAGCTGATTAACATTGTTCCTTGCCCGTCACAACTGGGTTCAGGAGTGCTTAAAATGAGAGAGAAATCTCTGCCAAAACCACTGCAAGAACCCTGTTCTTGTTGAACACACTGGAAATAAGCAAGTTGGACAAGATGATCCCCAGAATTCCCTTCCAACCCTAATTATTCCCTGATTCTGTGATTAGAGGGTATTTTGAGCAGCTTTAAATTTGGTTGTGTTATAATTTTTCAAGGTTATTTCTTGTAGAGAAGTCTTACAGAGTTATTTCTTACAGAGAAGTCAATGCCTTTCCTCAAAGAATTTCTAATTTCTACCCCTGACCATCTGCACAATGAAATAATGCAGGTGGTGGGAGACATTTTCAAATTCAGAATTATTATCAAGTAAAGCAGAATTATCACTGTAAGGTAAAGACATTCAGGGTGGCTTCATGCTGAGAAAGGACAATCTTCAATTTTTATGGGAAGAGATGGTGTTTCTTTTCATTTGTGTTAAAATTATCAAAAATTAATGTGGAGGTCAAGTTTCAATCTGGCTTCAGCTGTGACTTACCTGAGAAATTCCACTTAAATAACTCTGAGAGTGTAAAACATGAGGGTAAAATGTGCCAGTGCTAAAGGAGGAGGTATCACTGTGCTGCTCTAAAAGTGATTTTTGTGAGAGCATTTTGTCAACTGAAGCTTTGATAATATTCCCAGTCCAGTGCTGATGGAAATGGGAAGAAGGAACATTGGGAATACCATCAATGTAATGATTGTTAAACTTCACTGCCTCTGATTTTCTGTCCTTCCTAAACTGAAGACTCAGGATTTCAGTTTTTCTATTTTTCCAATCCTGTATTGCATTAGTGCATAACTGTAAACTCCTTATAAAGTGTTAGTTACTGTCTCCACATTTTGGTCAGAGCAAACAATCCTCCCAGGCCTGAGGCCCAAGGACACCCCACAGCCTCAGGCCCTGAAAACACAAACAAAAGTGAATTGGGGGGAGCAAACTGGGGGTGAATGACTTCATTACCTGAAGCTGTCATTGCAGAATTAACCCCTGGTATGTAAATGACCAAACTGATAATTGTGTGAAACTCTGGTGAGCATTGTCCAGCTTGGGTGAGGCCTCTGGAGGCTTCTGAGGGCCCCGGGTGTATCTGTGGGGCCTTTAATGGATACCTGCTCTTATTCTCTTACTCTTGGCTAGCCTCTGCTCTAGGGAGGCACTCACAGAATTCCCAGAATTCCCAGAATCCCTGGGTTGGAAGAGACCTCCAAGACCATCGAGTCCAGCCCAGCCCCAACTGAACCCTGGCCCCCAGTGCCACATCCAGGCTCTGTTAAACACACCCAGGGATGGGGACTCCACCCCTCCCCGGGCAGCCGTTCCAGAACTTTCTCACCCTGGCTGGAAAAACCTTTTCCCTGCTCTCCAGCCTGTATTTCCCTTGGTGCAGCTCGAGGCTGTGTGCTCTGGGTGTGTCAGTGCTGCTGCAGACAGAGCCCAGCCCCAGGTGAGCACAGGCCCCTTTCAGGAGCTGTGCAGAGCGATGGGGGCAGCCCTGAGTCTCCTTTTCTGCAGGCCGAGCACCCCCAGCTCCCTCAGGGCTCCTCACAGGGTTTGTGTTCCCAGCCCCTCTCCAGCCTCGCTGGCCCCTCTGGATGTGCTCAGTGTCCCAAGGTCCTTCCCAAACTGAGGGGCCAGAGCTGGGCACAGACTCCAGGTGTGCCCTCAGCAGTGCAGGGACAGAATGAGCTCCCTGCTCCTGGGACAGCCAGGGACAGACACAGGGACAGACACAGGGACAGACACAGGGACAGACACAGGGACAGACACAGGGACAGACACAGGGACAGACACAGGGACAGACACAGGGACAGCCAGGGACAGACACAGGGACAGACACAGGGACAGACACAGGGACAGGCAGGGCTGAGGCCCCTCTCTCTCCCTGAGTCTCCTTTTCTCCAGGCCGAGCACCCCCAGCTCCCTCAGGGCTTCCTCACAGGGTTTGTTCTCCCAGCCCCTCTCCAGCCTCGTTGTCCCCTCAGGATTCATTGCAGCACCCCAATGTCCTTCTCAAACTGAGGGAGGCATCCGAGGCACCAAAACCATTTTTCAAACCGCGAGCACAAATCCTCCCCATCCACGGCGCGGCCCAGCTTTTCCTGCTGGCTCAGAGCGACACCCACCTTCATAACTCTGTGCAAGGTTGTGCCTGATGATGTTCACTGGCTGCTCAGGAAGGCTTTTGGAGGGTGACTGGCTGCTGGGGACCAGGGGGTTGGCGTAGTGCCACTGGCACTCGCCATTGCTCTGCAGTGCACCCAGGAAGAACCGCGCCACCTCGCAGGGCGCCCCCTGGGCCTGCCCGAATTTTGCAGGCAGCATTTGCTTCTTTCCACTGAAGACGTGGGAATCCACAGGGAAGTGTCCATAGTGGTAGGAGAAGGGCAGGCTGTAGGGAGGGGCGTACAGGAGCTCGCTGCTCTCTGAATGGAAGTTCTGTTCCTGCAGGGCGGCGGCGCTGGCGGCGGGGCTGGAGCGCCAGCTCCCCACCTGGCTGCAGTCCAGTTTGTCTGCTTGGAACGAGCTGTATTGCTGGGGAAAGAGGGGGAAAAGAGCAGGGAAGAGAGTTAAAGGAAGAATTTCTGTAGGAAAGTGCAGGGCATGGCAGACAGGCACCCAGAGCTGGGCCTGGCTGGCTCAAGGGACAGACTGAGCGGTGCGTTTGAATTTCCTCTCTTTGCGACTTTGCCCTCACATGGGAACAAAAAAACCTGCTTTGATTTGATCATTTTGGCAGGTCAGTTTTACAGAATCACAGGATTAAGTTTGGAAAAGCCCTGCCAGCCCATGCAGTGCCAGCTGTGCCCAATGCCCACCTTGTGCCCAGCCCAGAGCACTCAGTGCCACCTCCAGGGCACACCTGCAGGGATGGGCACTGCAAAGCTCCCTGGGCAGCCCCTGCCAAGGCCTGAGCTCCTTTTCCAGAAAGAAATTCCTCCTGACATCAAGAACTCCACACACCAACAGTAAATGACAGATTCTACACCAGCCCAGATTTTCACAGCACAATTCCAAGTACAGGATTTTCTTCTTTTTGCCAAGAAAGGATGTCATGGTTGAAGTGCTTCACACACTCCGTATCCCAAAGGTTTTGCATCACTTGCCAGAGCTGGTTTGGGCTACCTGTACTTTCCACCCCAAGGAAAAAGGATCTAATTTTATTTTAATTATTTATTTTAATTTTTATGAGGGATTTCCTGGGATGGACAATCCTATAGTCTGTTTTATAGCAAATTCAGTCCTGGATTATCTCTACACTGTCCCAGGCACTCTGTGAGAACAACTGTTAATTAAATATTGCTAGAAAATTTACCTGTGGTGGGTAAGGTGTTGTTCTGAGTTTTGCCTTCATTTTATTACTTTTGGGTTTTACTATTTTCCTTGTTTCCTGCGAGGTAGGTACTGAGTTTCTGCATGAAAACTGTGACTTGGAAATGGTAACCTGGTCCAGTGACAACTGAAGTTCCTTGTACTCAATATCTCTGCAAAAGAACAGCCCAGTAAATTAAAAAACACAGGAAAATCCAAACTAACTCCTGTAAAAATACATGTTAGCGTTCACAAGGCTCGAATTTTCACTCTTCCAAGATTTTCACTGAGCCTGGGGATGTCAGGAGGCAGAGAATCTTATGGGGTGACCTCATTCCCATGCAAGTCTATTAAAAAATTCCACTGGGAACCACATAAACACCTTTGGATGAAGTGTCCCCTCTCTCTGAGCCTGAGCTGTATCATCTTCCCTCAGCCATCCCTGGTTTTCTGTGGTTTGGAATCATGGAAGGACAGAGATTAATTAATCAATCTGTCTTGTGCTCAGCCAGGAATTGGTCTCTGCCCTGAGGAAAGGAAAAGGAGCAACGTTCCTCCCCTGCCAGCAGCGTGTGCTTGTGACTAAACCACACAAGCTGCAAGGTTGGTTTGGATCAAAAAATCACAGAATACTCAACTTTGGAAGAGATCTTCAAGCTCATTCAGTCCCAGCATCACCCAGCACCACCAGCATCACCCCAAGGGCCCCATCCAGACTCCTCCTGAATAATCCCAGAGAAAATGACTCCAAACCTCCCTGGGCAGCTAATCCCAAGGCCTGCTCTTTACAAGGAAAAAAACCTTTCTAATCTCCAATCTGAACCTGTCCTGACAAAATTAAGGCCATTGCCTGACCCCCCTCAGTGCCCCTCTTGTCAGGAGCTGTGCAGGGTCCCCCCTGAGCCTCCTTTGCTCCAGGCTGAGCCCCTTCCCAGCTCCTTCATGAGATGTTTCCCAGCCCCTTCACCACCTCCACTGCCTTTCCCTGGACACGATGAAAGTCTAGATAATAATGATAATAATTAACACAAGATCTAGATAATAATGATAATAATTAACACAACAGGGGTTTTCTCTCAGCTAAAGAGATGAGATTGCACGAACAGAGAACGACACCAGAAGACACAAGCCAAGAAAACTCAGCAGATTTAATCACCAATGAGTCAATCAGTGAGAGCAGGTAATGGTACAAAGTGTTTGGACTTACGTAAGGACATAATTGACACTCACTATGCAGTGAGGCCGTGACGAACGGCTGTTGTGCACGATGGTGGCGTAGCTCTGCACCCACACCCAGCCTCCCTGCTTGGACAGCAGCCGGTAGTACTTGGTGGTCACTTGGCCTTTCACCAGCACTGGGAACACAAGGAAAATAAAATTCTTTAAAAATTCATGTTTTTCGGAGCCATGGCCTCTTCCTGGGGAGGTTTGTTTGCAAGCCAAAGCGCTTTTCTCCCTCAGGGAATCACAGAATTATTGATGTTGGAAAAAACCTTTCAGATTCCTGAAACCTATGTCCTAACACCTTCCTTCCTCTTCCTCCCAATTAACTTTAAATAGCTCCCTACAAAATTACCTATCCTGCCCCTTTCTATAGATCCATTAATATTTATATAAGATTTGAAGAGTCCTAAGTTTGTCCAACCAATGTCCTAACACCCTCCTTCCTCTTCCTTCCAATTAACTTTAAATAACCCCCTACAAAATTACCTATCCTGCCCTTTTCTATAGTTTCATAAGATCACATTATTATTTATATAAAATTTTTAAAATTTAAATAATTTTTTTTAAATGAAGACTCCTAAGTTTGTCCAACCTATGTCCTAACACCCTCCTTCCTCTTCCTTTCAATTAACTTTAAATAACCCCCTACAGAATTACCTATCCTGTCCCTTTCTACTGATTCATAACACCACATTATTATTTATATAAAATTTTTTAAATTTATATAAATTTTTTTGAAATTAAGACTCCTAAGTTTGTCCAGCCTATGTCATAACACCCTTCTTCCTCTTCCTCCCAATTAACTTTAAATAACCCCCTACAAAATTACCTATCCTGCCCCTTTCTGTTGATTCATAACACCATGTTATTATTTATATAAAATTTGAGGAGTCCTAAGTTTGTCCAACCTATGTCCTAACACCCTCCTTCCTCTTCCTCCCAATTAACTTTAAATAGCCCCCTACAAAATTACCTATCCTGCCCATTTCTGTTGATTCATAACACCACATTATTATTTATATAAAATTTTTTAAATTTATATAAATTTTTTTGAAATGAAGACTCCTAAGTTTGTCCAACCTATGTTCTAACACCCTCCTTCCTCTTCCTATGGCCAACCAATGTCCTAACACCCTCCTTCCTCTTCCTTTCAATTAACTTTAAATAACCCCCTACAAAATTACCTATCCTGCCCCTTTCTGTGGATTCATAGCACCACATTATTATTATTCATATAAAATTTGAGGAGTCCTAAGTTTGTCCAACCAATGTCCTAACACCCTCCTTCCTCTTCCTCCCAATTAACTTTAAATAACCCCCTACAAAAATACCTATCCTGCCCCTTTCTATTGATTCATAACACCACATCATTATTTATATAAAATTTTTAAAATTTATATAAATTTGTTTGAAATTAAGACTCCTAAGTTTGTCCAACCTATGTCCTAACACCTTCCTTCCTCTTCCTTTCAATTAACTTTAAATAACCCCCTACAAAATTACCTATTCTGCCCCTTTCTACTGATTCATAACACCACATTATTATTATTTACATAAAATCTGAGGAGTACTAAGTTTGTCCAACCTATGTTCTAACACTCTCCTTCCTCTTCCTCCTAATTAACTTTAAATAGCCCCCTACAAAATTACCTATTCTGCCCCTTTCTATGGATTCATAACACCCCATTATTATTATTCATATAAAATTTAAAGACTTCTAAGTTTTGTCTTCCTTCTTGTCTGGGTCACCCACGGTCGCATTCTTCCCAAACCCTGCTTTAAAATTTCTAACTGCAAAAGAAAAGCTCAAGGCAGCAAAAGTATTTCGAAATGGACAAAATTCTTTTGAAAGAAGAATTTTGGAGAGGAGAGGAAATGGCCTCAAATTGCACCAGGGGAGGTTCAGGTTGGAGACTGGGAAAGAAAATTTCCATGGAAGAGTGGTCAGGCCTTGGGATGAGCTGCTCAGATTGGTGCTGGAGTTCCTGGGAATGTTCAGGAAGAGTCTGGATGTGGCCCTTGGGGACAAGGATTGGGGTCGGGAATGCTTGATCCTGAAGGGCCCTTCCAACCCTGAGGATTCTGTGATTTTGAGATTTTTTCCAGATTATTTGGAAGCACTTTTCTCATAGCTTGACAAATTATCTGGTTTATTGCGATTTATTTTATTCCATGGTGTTTTTTTTCCTCTGTAATCATCAAGGTTGATTTTAAAGGGTAAAATTAAAAAACCTCTTTGATTGTGAAGCGCCCAAACAAAGACAATTTATTTAAAGACAAGGACAGAGAGGGGAATCAGATATCTGATAAATTCACCAGCCATGTAATCCTCCCTGAGCTATTCTGGATCCTCTGTGAACAAGGATATTTTGGCAGGAGGCTGTGCTGTAACAGGAGTTGTGCAGCATCTCTAAATATTTAATCCAACCACAAATATTTCTGATTCAGTGCCAGGCCTTTATCTCAGGATTCTCTAGAAGATAATGCCCAGCCTTTGAAGCTGGTTCTTCTCTTGTGTGGCCTTGGATCATTCCTCTGGAAACTCCATCCTCTTACTCTCCTATACAGTTATTTATTGTAAATCAGGGAATCATGGACTGAGCTGGCTGCACAAATTGTGTTCAAAACAAGAGGGCAATGGCAGAAATTCCTTTTTACAAATATGATTGAGAAATGGAATCTAAACCTGCTCTCTGTCATTTTAAAACCATTCCCCTTGTCCTGTCCCTTTTTCTCTGTCACTGACACACCCAGAGCACACAGCCTCGAGCTGCACCAAGGGAAATACAGG